GATATATTTGCTATAAATCACATAACAGTATTTATTAAAAGAAATGAAATATTAATGTATATTCTCAGTAGTTTTAATTTGCTAAACCAGGTAGTTTTTCAAGTAATAATTGTCTCTTATGTGAACTGAGGAAAAATATAATTTCCAGCTTTATTTTTTCAATTGGTAATTTTTATTTTCACTAAATGTTAAGTATCAATGTAATCATTTATATAATAATAGATTAGTACACAATTGTATGTCAACACATTATTTATTATCTTAAACTGCCTGGAATTTATTATTAAAGGGTTGCGCTTGCGCAAAATTTACTATCGTGGAAATTCAGCTTTTTTGCCTTTTGGCTAATCTCATCCCTGTAAATACACCTGATTATTTTATTAATCTTTTTTCAGTTATTGATGTAAATGTCACAGTTTTTTAAAAATATTTTTTGATGCAATAACAGCTTGCAAAGTGCTAAAAAATAGGAGAAATCAGCAGTTTTTTCAATATTCTTTTACGTGTTGATAAGAAAAAAATGTATTAAATAAAAAAAAATTTCTTTTGTCTCTTTAAATTTTATAGATGTTACTTATATGCATAAAATTGATAGACTTTTATCTATCTGCTATGTACTGAAAGATAAAAATTTTTTATGTACTTAAAAAAAAAAAAAAAAAAAAAAAAAAAAAAAAAAAAAAAAAAAAAAAAACTAAGCATTGAGAAATTTTTTAGATAATTTCTTCTTCCATGCGTGTGAATGTGAGTTTTAGTACAAACATGTTTTTTGTTCCTATTTATTTCAAATATTTTTCCGATTTATGTCAAATGTTTTTCCAATTTATATCAAATATTTTTATTGATGAAAGAGTACAACTCATGCTATATTCACATTGTTATATTCATATTATTACATTCATATAATCACAATTCATAATTTGTAGACCATGTGAATATGAAATCCACTCATAATGTGGGATTTGAAATAGCAATGTAGTGTTTAATCTCAAAACTCATGGATCTGATTTGAAACAAAATTAATGGTGTGTCATTATTTTGGTGGTGAAAATTTAAAAGTTTTAAATGATTTTTGTAGGTGTAAGACCAAGCATGAGTAATAAATAAATAATCAATAAAAATTCATTAAAAATTGGTGTATTAACTAACTGACACAAGTTTTGATGAGACATTCTGATCAATATTTTTTATCAATGTATATTCAAGGTTGATGTTTCGTTTTTTAAAAACGTTATAAAAAGTGTGCTAAAATGTTAACCTTAATTTTCAATTCTTGCCAGGTTTACCCCAAAAAATCACAAGCCCTGCCTAAAATAATAGGTGCTCATGAATTAGTACCTTATGATAAAGTTACAGCTCAAATTCCTAATGAGGAATGGGATGATCATGCAGAGGTAACGTCATTTTTACAAATATGGATTTAAAAAAAAAATAATAATAGTAATTTTACTGTATGAACTATAGTCAAAATTTAGTATTATTGTAGAACTTTTTAAATTGAATATGTTTAACTATATTTATTTGGCTTGTATTTATTTCTCATTGAAACAAAATTTTCAAGTCATAAGTAATTTCTCTGATATTACTTGTAATTAAGTACTCTCTAATTTTGTCTCCTTAGGTTTTAAGTAAAAATTTTTTCTTTATTTTTCTCTTACTTTTTTTGTTTTGTTTTAGACAAAAGTTTTGACAGCTGAGTATCATTCATTTCTATGTAACTTATGACATTTTTTAAAAAATAGTTTATTCAAAGGACAAAAGAACATGCTATAAGTTAAAACTTTTTTAGATTTTTCTCAAATTTTTTAATCTATAAAGGGGATAGTTTTGGCTACGTAATTTAATTATGTCAATGTATGTATATATATATATATATCGGGTTGAGTAAAAAGTTTTCCGCCAAGGGGAGATACCTCCGTGCCAGCAGCAGCCATTCCCGTGGTAGTTAACCTTTTTTGAAACGGCACCCGGGGAATCAGCAGGTTCGGTTGCAAGACTAACGCTAACTAACAAGAAGGTCCTTATCTGTATCTGGTGGGATTGTCGTGGAATTATCTACAAGGAGTACCTAAAAAGCGGGCAGGCTATCAACAGTACAATATACAGGAATATGCTAATCAAAGTTAGGGATGCCATTTGCGAAAAACGAAAAAACGAGTTCAGAAGGAAGGTGGTTCTCTTTCATCAAGATAACGCCCGACCACATGTCAGTGCAATGACCGGATGGACCCTCTACACGCTGGAGTGGGATTTGATGCAACATCCACCATACAGGCCAGACACGGCACCATGGGATTTCTATCTGTTTTCACATCTGCAGCTGCATCTTGATGGCACAATCTTCCGTTCAAATGACGAGGTCATAAATGAGGTTGATCGCTTTCTGGACTCGCCCACCCCCCAGTTCTTCGTAGAAGGGATTGAAAAGTTGCCAAAACGTTGGCAGACTATCGTTGATTTGCTATCCTCATTAGCTTTGCTGATTTTCTATGTATTTATCATTTTACAGGATTGTTTTTTTTTTGGCGGAAAACTTTTTACTCAACCCGATATATATATATAACGTTCATAGCATTTGTTTTCATTTCCATGAAAACCATTATTCAGCTTCTTANAAATGACTTTGTCAAAAAAGAAAAAAAGAAAGAAAATTGAAAAGGTAAATCATTAACCTATTACCATGCTTACGTTAAAAAAAGTTTCAGTGCCTCCCCCTTCCCCTTTGTCTTTTGCTTTAACATTGATTTTTATTGTAATAATCTAGGATAGGATTACATTCAAATAAAAGATTTAACTTTTTGCTCAAAGCAAAATTTATGTTTTATTTAATTTTATAAAATTTTGAAAAGAATATTTAGTAAACTTTTATGTTTTGTGATCAACTCCCTTGACCCTCTGAAGCTGTTAGAAAAGATTTTGCAATTTCAAATTTGAAACTTTTCCAGTCGTAATTTTTTGTTACATTAAAAAAAAAAAAAATGAAAATAAAGGGATTTGAACCCACTTACATAAGCAATTCTCATAACCCTCATCTCTCCCTTGTCAGCAAAAATAAGTAAATCACTAATCCCCCCCCCCTCTGTACTGTGTGTTTAGGTACCCAGTGTTTACATACTGCTTGAATGGCCCCAAATAAGCTAAATTGAATTTGAATATTTAAAATTTTTGTATATACTATTTTTAAATATTTAAAAAGGAAACAGGTGTGTAATATTAATTTACTTTTCTTTAAAACAGTGATTGCATAATTTTATTGCCATACTTTTATGACCAATATCCAAAGAATTTCATCAACTTCGCTTTCTGATTGGGTGAAAACCTTTTATTTTGTTTTAAAAATGACTCCTAGGAAGATTAAATACTGATCATTTGTTTATTTGAGAAAATAATTTCTTAAAAATTGAGATGTTTATTACGATATAACAAACATTACTCCTTTAGGGAAGTTCTGTTACTGGGAAGAGAGATTAAGAGAAAATTTAAGCACTGAGCTGAATAGCCATTTCTTTATTAATTAAATGGCAAATTAATTACGCAATTATTTTCTAGTTCTCTTAAAGTCTAGGTTCAATTAACACATTTCTTTTTAATGCAATCTAGGGCTTTAAATCTCTATATTTTTATAAAATTTATTTATGGTTATGAAAAATAAGTATTTGCTTTTTTTTTTAAACCTACGTAAGTTTGTTTGTTCTTGGTTATACTTTGTAATCTTTGAGAATTTTCTTGAACTTTATTGGTGTTAAAGAGACTATTGAAGCTTCAATATAAGTGGGTGCATTACATTTTATTGCAATTTATTTAATGTATTTATATAAAGGAACTAGATGAACTGAGAATTAGAACTGGAACTAGATGAATTAGAACTGGAACTAGATGAACTGGAACTAGATGAAGAAAAAAAATTTTTTTTTTTTGTTTGTCCAAAAAAAAAAATTGTTCCTTTTATGTTTCTGCATGGTTTGGTTTATAGTTTTCAGAACTTAATGTAATAGCTAAAAAAAATGTTTTTTATTTATTGTAAAATTTTTCCTTTCATTTTTTTAGGAAGTAATTCAGCCAATTAGAGGAGCATTTGAGTAAGTAGCGATCAAATGAACATATCAATTGAATATTTTCATAATAAATTTTCATTTAATTTTTAATTGTGTTTGGTGGAAGTTAATATCTTTTAAATGATTAAATTTGGATACATTTTTATTTTCAAGTATTTGAAATGTATCGTAAAGATAATCACTGCTAGTAAAATTTATGACAGAGACAAGTTATTGGTCAAAATTATCTTCGTTTGCTTATTCTATTATATAATATTTTAACCCATGTTTTCCATTTTGAAACTGAATAGTTAAAAAATATTTATAGAGGCTGAAGAATTAAGATTGGGATATTTGATTTTAAAAAAAAAACTTTTTTTTTCTATTCTTTACAAATTGTGAAGTGAATTTTCTATTTTCATCATTATATTTTCTTAATATATATCACATGAGGGCCTAAGTTTTATTTGTTTTGATAAAAAATTTTTATTCTGTTTGGCTATACTTTTATCATGTAAGAAAACTATATTTAATTATATTTGTGTTCATAAAATTCTTTTAAATAAATGAAGTATTATTGAAGTATTATTGTACATATTATGTATCTCATTTTTTTAATATTTCTTTGAACAAGAATATTACTTTTTCTCCGTATTGTTATATAATTCTTTTATGGTTTGTTTTCTTTTAGCTGGGATACTCCTTCTGTATGATGACACTTTTACAACTGCTCACCATGTTCATTTATTGAAAAATGAATTTTTTAATTTGTATCACTTTTATGAGTACCTTTTAGATTTTGCTATTATATTTGTTATTATATATTTTTTTCAAACTTTTATAGTTTCTATTTGTTTATTTTTTTGTCTTTATTTACATAACCATCGCCACATTTTGTGATAATTTTAGAGACCGAATTTAATTGGTACAATCCTAATTTAGCCTAAAATACCTGACCTAAATAAAGAGTAATCACTAGCATCTTACTGTGCATATATTTATTTATTCCGAGCTTAATTAGTTAGATTAAAAATGTTTTTCTTTTAGAAATATTTAATTTTACTTCATGTACTGAAAATAAATTTTTTAAATATTTTCAATCTGAATTAACTATGTTAATTACTTTTATTGTAAAAAATATCTAGGTCTATCTTTTTATGAAAAGAAATCTAATACTAATTTTTTTTTGATGTCTCTAAATTTTTTTGTTGTTTAATAGTAAATATAACTAACCATTTTAAAAATCAATAACAAAGTTGATTTTAAAATTTAATTAAGAATTTGATTAAAATATTTCAGTTTGCTCAGTCAGCTTTGGAAGTTAATAGTTTTTTCTCCAGGTATAAATTAGTTACAAAATTCATCCACAGATGGTTTTGTTTTAGTTTATGAATTGGATTGTTTAATTGTGAAAAACATAGAAAACGGTTTTAAAATAGCCATCATTTGCAATAACAGCCTCAGTCTGATGACAAATTTATTAAAAACTTATATAAATAATAATGTTGGCTTTGGTCTAACGTGCTGCAAATAGCACTGTCTTATAGTTTTTTCAGTTTGTAGTGCCTTCTGTTGACAAATTTTGTAACTAATTGATAAATTTTTTGAGAATATATATACCTGGTTTTGTTAGCAGAACATAACAAATTGTTCATTCCTATCTCCTTTTGTTTGTCTGCAATTGGGTTTTCGAATTGTCATTCATTTTGGAACATCCTGTAAGAATAGTTTTATTAAGAAAAAAAATTAAAAATTCAGAATTAAAGAAAAATCAGTTTTAATATCTTGCGGTTATACTTTGATTAAAAGCATGCTTTACCTGTTCATTTTTTTTTATGAATCTTACTTGAAAAGTTAAAAATCCAGCATTATAAGAATGTAAAGACCTGCCAATAAAGAAAGAAAGAATTTTTTATTTTTACACATTGCCTAGTCATTCTTTAAAAGGCTAAAGACAAACTGGTAAAGTATAAAATACATCAATCATTTTATAACATGCCTTTGTTTTCTGTAAAATTCCAGCATTTCATGCATTGTCAGTCATAAATAAGTGACTTCCTTCTTTAAAGTCTTTTTTTTCTTATAAATTACATATTTATTTTTAAGGAATGAATGTCTTTTAAATATTAGATCTTTTTTTAATTATCTTTTTTTTACACTTATGATCTTTTTTTATACTTTACATACTTTACCTGAAAAACAATTGCTATTCCAGAAGTATTATATACAATGCTTAAGTAAAGTTTTTAATTAGTATTGATCAAGTGAAAATTATGAATTTTAAATTTGTCGATATAATTGTACATAATGTTTGTATAATAAAAGTACTTTTAATATATTGATTTTGTACTTGATTCATTAATTTTTCGTCTTTATTTCTTCAAGCATTTAATGCAATCGAATCAATCTTGTAGTTGAAACTTTGCGGAACAGCAACAAGCATTGTAATTTATTACAGTATCTGTAGATCATTTTTCTTCTCACTTTTTTAATGGTTAAAAAATATCTGCGAAGAGAAACAGAAATATTATTTTTAATTCCTTAACTGTCTTATTTGCTAGATATACTTGCCAATCTGCAGTAAGCTATAGAAAATTGAGGATTTAAAAAAATATTTCAAATAATTTTTTTTAATTAACAGGAATTTTAGAAAATAGAGAAATTTTCAATTGTAGATTTTTTTTAGAAAGAAAGATTAATTACCAAAAAATTATTTATTTGGTAAAAAGCTTCACAACACAAATTTTTTAACAACATAACTTTTTGTGCACAATGTTTATTTATTTTAAATACTATGCAGATTTTGTAATTAAATGTTAACTCAGTGCTCTCTAAATTTCTTAATAAAGTTCATAGTTAGTTTGAAGAGTAGATCTCTTCCAAAATGTCGATAATTATCAATAAAAGAAATTTTATTCTATTTAATTAGCAGCACGATTGTCGATTTATTGCATGATTTTGGCTGCACGATTGACACAGAAAGATTTGCCGTAAAAGCGTTTTTTCAATAAACGAAAGTATGGCAATTTCAAACCTTTCATCATAAAATGATGAAAAAATGATTTGTAAAAGTTATTTAAAAAATATTGTTACTTGAGTTAAAGAATAAGCAAATGAAACCATGTTTTTTTGTTTGTTTATTGCCATTATAAGGTTCGCAGAAATACTAGACAAAGACCTTTTTCTAAAGAAACAGAATAGGGCAAGTATCAACTTTCCTACAAAACTGTTAGTAAATTGTAAAACAGTCTTAAAAAAACAAAATCTCATTCTAAGGAAAGTAAGTAAATGAACATAAAACCTTTTTTCTAAGATTCTGAAAAAGTACACGCAAAAAAACAAGATATTTTCATTTAAAATATAAAAAGAATAGCGATTTTTTAAAATTTTATTTTTGTGCAAAATCCGATTTTTTAATTTTTTTTTATATAAAAATTCATTCTATCAACTGTCGATGGCCAGGGGAGGGGATGGGAATTAAGACTCCACGATTTCGTGACAAACTGCATGGTGATGACATGGTCAGCATTTAGCACTTACCGCTGGTATTCATCGATTTAAAGAAAGGAGGGTTTCAAGCCATAACCTATACACTTTTTTTCATCATATCTCTGGAATTCAAAAACATTTGGTACAGAATTATAAAACTCGCTTTACGTAATTTCTTGGCATTAAATGCATTTTCGAAGTGAATTTTCTGCAATTAATTGCATTTCACGCATATGGTGGAAATCGCAGAAAATACGAAATATCTAACGTAACGTAGAGCGAACCAAACATTTGGGCCACATTTTCCAAATTTCGTCTACTTACCCCTAGGGTTTGAAATCCAAACCCATTAAAAAAAGGTTATGTCTACCCAGAGAAAGTACGTTTTTGTGTCTGGTTTCGTAAATTAAAACATCGTCTTCACTAATTAATTTGTATTTTTTAGGTGAGGCCTTCTAACACGTCTTAATACGTGAAAATCCGATCATTAAAACAAAATTTATTCTCTGTTCCGTTTTCTTAGAACTGTACATACATAAGTACATATACATTGTTATTAGATGGCGAATGTCTACATCCATACATATGTATACCTACTGTGTTTATGTTCACATGCGTATACATGTATCAACGTACATATTTATTGTGTACTACATACAGTATATATATGTATGTACACATAATTTATTCATTGTATGTCCGAATGAATATACAATGTACGCACGTATGCAAGTACTATGTAATTATAATCTATGCACTTACGTATGTACGCATGTATATGCAGCTTAGCAACCTATGCACATGTAAAGTAACCACGCATGTAAGTACAATGTTCCTTCATATGCATATATGTATTTACATACAGCGGATGTATGCGTGTATGTACATACGTGTGAATACATGTACCATACATGTGTATGTACATACCAATTATTTGGAGATTGTTTCGCTAATTATTCATGTTGCATCATTTGCTAATGGTTATTGTACTAATTTACATTATTTCATTTTATTTATGGACGAAATTTAATTATGGTATATCTGTACAACCAAATATGCTAATATAGATACAATTCGCATATTTTGAGCCTATTAAAATCTAAATACCGTGCAATTTTAATATCGGTACTACATAAAGAATTTTTTTTTTATGAGGCATCCAAAAGTATCAGAGAAAATCGCTAGGTTGATTATTATCCTAGGTTGCCAGCAACAGCATCGTGCTAAAAACAATTTTTTTAATATGAAGTACTAAAAGTGTGTTTTACTTAATCTAATATCGTAAAACAAGCGGCAAAGGATTCATTAATTGTTTTGGCTTAGGTCTTTCCGTTTTACGCATAATTAAATTGCATTATTCAGTACTGATTTATTGATCATTTTTTTTTCATCCCGGGTATTTAGATAGTATTGAATACAGTTAATCTTTATTCTGATGGGATGCACAGTGCGAAAAATAAAAAACAGATCACCCTGAATAACTTTTGATCTAAGAATAGGGTGGGGAAATTAGTTACAGACCATGTCAACCTTCATCTATGAAAAGGTACCCCGACATAGAGTCGAGTTAACATGTCTTATATACTAGTGAATTGTAGTTGTAATTTTGTAGTGGTAGATACGCTACAATGGGAACTTCACTTTTTATGGCTCAATCATTGTGGTTCAAAGGTAGTGGCGTAAAAAACAGCCCTGGCGGCGCGGGAGGAGAGCTCATGAGGTTTGAGGTCGCACGATTCAGTAATAATACACTACATGTAAGGGGTTCACAACTTGTGGCCAGCGGTAGCACCTGAACCTAAAACAAAAATAACAAAAAAAACATTTTTTATTCTTTTTTTGCAAAAGGAAAAAAAAATCAGAAATTTTGAATTTGCGCATTTAAGTTTTTGAACTTTCTAAATCTAAATCAAGGTAGTCTTTTGATCGCTTTTTTCGGTGGTTATCACTATAAATTTCCAAAGGTATTTGCGTGAAGTGGTAGTGAATTTCGACATCTAGACAAACCCGAATGTCTTTTTCATAGTGTTCTTGTCTCGTATTATAATTTTTAAAATATTGTGTTAAGTCTAAGATAGGGCGCATTTATAATTCTTGCAGTGGGGCATACCTAAGTCTACGTACAAGGGGGTAACCTCAAATATGTTAATTAATTAGTGCAGGCGATATTTTAAGTTACGAAATCAGACACAAAAACGTACTTTCTCAAAATAAACATGCTTTTCTATATCGACGGTTTCGGATTCCAGACCCCCAAAATATAGAGGGTAGTCGCAACCTGTGAATTCATGCAAAATATTACTTTTAGTAAATTTTTTTTTCATTTCACTTAATAATAGTTGAAAAAATTTTGAATTGTAAAGTATACAATTTTCACATCATTTTGAAGATTGCAATTTTAAATGGCAAAATACAAAATTTGAGCGGAAACGGTCGAATAGTTACTGAGAAATCAAATTTTGAAAAAGTCGTATTCTTAAAAAAATTGTTAAATGATGAAAATTAAAGTAATCCTATATAGTATATATCTGTTTCAGGTAACATATAATAAACAACGTTCTTGATTTTTATAGTACATTGAAACTCTATATTTCTTTATGAATCACCGTTTATATTTAACATACGAAGTCCTTAGACTTGTAAGCTTCATTCAAGGTTGTAAAAAGATTGCAGGATTAGCTGTAGATTCTAAAACAGTATGTACACAAATCGGTTATGTGGCATTTAATGATAAAGTATTTTAACTTTTGATTCTACTTAGAAGACCAAGTTACTCCTGCGCAAAGAAGAGGGACAAATTCTTCTATGCAAAACCACAATATAACAAATCTGCATTTGGGTTCCTAGAGATAGAAATTATTTTAGTGCAATAGGACTGTAGCCAAAGATTTATCTGCCATTGTGTGTCAGTACTGTAGCTGGAGCAGTATGTGAACCCAGCAACTCTCGTCCTCCTACGCTTTTAAAACAATTTATACAAGGACAAAATTTATCTAGAATTTTTTTAGTAAGTTGCATGAACAATTAAATTAAACAATTAAATTACAATTAAACAATTGAACAATTAAACAAGTGAACAATTAAATTAACAAATTTCTCTTAGATTCAACCTGATATTTACTAATTCCAGAAAGAACTTTCTGTAACGTTAAGCCAGACTTGTAACTTCCCATCATTAGTTTAATTTTTCTTTTAAAGACTAGGGGGATAAGCCCCCTGTTTGCTGACCCTCACTACCCCGATGATTGCTTCGCAATAATTGCTGTTTCTTGGCATAAAACAGTTGAAATTATTCAACTAAACATATTTGTATTAAAAATAACACTTGAGCCTCCACTTCCCACTTCCAAATATTTCCCTTGTTGTTGTTGTTGACGTATGCCTGCTTAGGCAGAGGGGATGCGATTGTTCTTGTTTTCCAGTGGCGCCATCTATGGCCAAGAATTCGATTTCTGCCACACCATACGTCGCACCCGCTTATAGGGCGGACCCATTCATTCATCCACAGATCGTAATTTTGACCTGAATCAGAGAACGATCGATCTCCAATCCTGTACCCCTAAAGGTTTTGATTTGTTATGGGAACGTGGAGGACTTTTGCGACTCGACAGATTTAACGTGCATCAGTCACTAATATTTTCCTTATGATACTATTAAGATCTATAAGTGAACTTAAATCATTTTTTTAAGTAATCATTTTTTGAATTAACATTTAAATTTGAAAGTATATTGTTATAACAAACTTGGTGAGCTCACAACTTCAATTTAATATTTTGCTTACCAAACGGACGGATATATTTTAAATACAATTTTTGCATCCATCACTTTGTGTACATGAAGCTGAAAACT